CACTTTTCTTAATGTCTGTATGCTAATGTACATATTTTTTATCCCCGGAAGTTCATATTGCTATTCTCTCATATGCTCTCTTTTCTAATACTCCCTAAGGAGAAGCATTCAAAATTGTTTTTCTTTTCTGTATATATAAACCAAAGTATATTTAAATATTTAAATTCTAGCACCTGTAAAGTTCTTTTTTTTCAATAACACTTCTTTGACATCAGCAAAACAATAAAATTTGTACTATCTCACCAGAGGTGAGAACCCAAACACGTTCACATCATGGTACATATGGAAGGAAATCATCTTTGCGTAGCACACTGGGGTAAACTGGAGGGGATGTAGAATCCTGTACGAGGCTTCTGTGACCAGACTTGACCTGCACACAGACTCCAGCCATCCCAGAACCTTCCCAGCCAACACAAGAGCAGAGCACACTAGCTGGGAAGCTCTGATAAAGATTTTTATTTTATTTTATTTTATTTTTTCTATCAAAATAATTTTTTTTGACATCACTAATGTACAGTTACATGAGGAACATTATGTTTACTAGGCTGCCTCCTTCACCAAGTCCCCCCCACAAACCCCATTACAGTCACTGTCCATCAGCATAGTGAGATGCTATAGAGTTACTACTTGTCTTCTCTGTGTTGCACAGCCCTTCCCATGCCTCCCCCAACATTATACATGTGAATCATAGAGTCCCCTTTCTTCCCCCATGCCCTTATCCCTCCCTTCCCACCCATCCTCCTCAGTCTCTTTCCCTTTGGTAACTGTTAGTCCATCCATTCTTGGGTTCTGTGATCCTGCTGCTGTTTTGTTCCTTCCGTTTTTTCTTTGTTCTTATACTCCACATATGAGTGAAATCATTTGGTACTTGTCTTTCTCTGCCTGGCTTATTTCACTGAGCATAATACCCTCTAGCTCCATCCATGTTGTTGCAAATGGTAGGATTTGTTTTCTTCTTATGGCTGAATAATATTCCATTGTGTATATGTACCACATCTTCTTTATCTGTTCATCTACTGATGGACACTTAGGTTGCTTCCATTTCTTAGCTGTTGTAAATAGTGCTGTGATAAACATAGGGGTGCTTCTGTCTTTTTCAAACTAGGATCCTGTTTTCTTAGGGTATATTCCTAGAAGTGGAATTCCTGGGTCAAATGGTATTTCTATTTTGAGCTTTTTGAGGAACCTCCATACTGCTTTCCACAGTGGTTGAAATAGTTTACATTCCCACCAGCAGTGTAGGAGGGTTCCCCTCTCCACAGCCTCACCAACATTTGTTGTTGTTTGTTTTTTGGATGGTGGTGATCCTTACTGGTGTGAGGTACTATCTCATTGTGGTTTTAATTTACATTTCTCTGATGACAAGCATTGTAGAGCATCTTTTCATGTGTCTGTTGGCCTTCTGAATTTCTTCTTTGGAGAAGTGTCTGTTCAGCCCCTCTGCCCATTGTTTAATTGTATTATTTGCTTTTTGTTTCTTGAGGTGTGTGAGCTCTTTATATATTTTGAAAGTGAACCCTTTATCAAATCTGTCATTTATGAATATATTCTCCCATACTGTAGGTTACCTTTTTGTTCTATTGATGGTGTCCTTTGCTGTACAGAAGCTTTTCAGCTTGATATAGTCCCACTTGTTCATTTTTGCTTTTGTTTCACTTGCCCAGGGCGATATGTTCATGAAGAAGTCGCTCATGTTTATATCCAAGAGATTTTTGCCTATGTTTTTTTCTGAGTTTTATGGTTTCATGACTTACATTCAGGTCTTTGATCCATTTTGAATTTACTTTTTGTATGGTATTAGATAGTGATCCAGTTTCATTTTTTTTATATGTAGCTGTCCAGTGTTGCCAACACCAACTGTTGAAGAGGCTGTCATTTCCCCATTGTATGTCCATGGCTCCTTTATCATATAATAATTCACCATATATGTTAGGGTTAATGTTTGGAGTCTCTATTCTGTTCCACTGGTCTGTGGGTCTGTTCTTGTGCCAGTACCAAATTGTTTTGATTACTGTAACTTTGTAGTAGAGCACTCAAAATTTTTCAGAATTAATTCAATCTGCAGTTAGTAGTTTAGAGAGCAAAAATTTGCTTTACAATAGGTTATGAATGTTGCTGTTTCTAGTTATCTACCTAGAAGATTTGTTTAAATGCTACTAAGTACTTCCTATTTCATGGTATATCATGTCAGTTTTATAAAATTTTTCCACATTTTCATTATGAGATTAGTTTTCACACTTAAGTACATATTTTAATGTTATAAATCATGAATGGGTAGCAGAATATTCTTCCTGAGTGATAAGCTGTTCAATCAGTGATTAAAGTTATCAGGGAAAATCTAAGAACAAGCAGAGAAAACATTAGATTTTCTTTAATTTAGAAGATTTTCCATGAATTATTCTCTGTTTTTACATGCCAGACATCAAATAAAATACTAGTATCCCCTATTTTTTGACTGCTTCCAAGAGTTCTTTTTGTCTGTAATTCACATACATTAGGTCTCATTAATTTTCAGAGTTTATAGAGTTTGGGTCTTTATTTTCTGAAATTTTAAATTATTTGTGTTTTAACCACTTTTAAGACTCAAAGCATAGTTTATGTAATTCCCCATTTGAGTGCCTTTCATCATTTAGAGCTTGTTTTCCCCTGACACAGTGATTGAATATACATTCCCATGCTAAGTATTTATGTGTCTTGAAGACAAATAACAAATACTACCTTGTGAACTGCAGCAATAACTTTATTAAACTGATAAAACCATATCCTTTTTTCGATCCTTAATCAGTGGGCAAAATTTATATTGTTTTAATTTAACCACATTTTTGTCTAAGAGCCCAGAATAATGTTCAATACCTGATATAATAATCATGGTTATATGAAAGGCGTGACCACATTGAATTCTATTTATATAGTCTAGGACTGTTGCCAGCAATTTCAGATATGGGGAACAGATGGCCTTCTCACCTTCGCTGAGTTAACACTGGATGGCTTGATCACTTTATAGTAGAAGATGTACTACATCGATACCTTTGTTACTGGAGACTGGCCCTTGGTCTCCATGTGAAAAACATTTCAAGAATGGACACAGAAATGCTGATGTGCATTAAGAGTTTGTTTGGAGATTTACAGTTTAAAGAAAGGAGAGAGTATGCAATGGGAAAGTTGGGACAAGGGCAGACCCAGAGGGGATGTCACTGAGGAGGCAATAAGCAGCCTTTTTTATATGAAAGGAGATGAATATTCATAAAGTGGGGTTAGATTTTAAAGGAAACACAGGGAATCCATATGGAGTTCGGGTTAGCTCCTCCCTCACTTTGTGCACTATATTTTTTTGACTATAGTTGGTTCTCTTCAGAACTGTCATGGCATGGGGAGGCATTATTTTCAGTGTGTTAGTGAGTCTATAATGTATTTGGAAGTGAGGTCAGGGTCAACCACTCCTCCACATTGGAAGTAGCCAGTTTTGGCTGGCCTATTATCTGTACTCTTATTCCCATGCCACAGGAACAGCTTTTACAGAATGTGTAGAATGTAGCAAGCATCTGTCTGAATTCCCCCTCCTTTTCCTTGCTTATGTCTAGCTCTCTACCTACTCTAACACCTTTACCCTTATTCTCTCATTCCTGATTACCTACTGATAGGTCCTGACTTTCATTTTGTTGACTTTAATTATAGGGACCACTGTGTTTGTGCAAGGCTCTTGGTGGGTACAAAGGTGCATTAGCTGTCTAGCATAGTACTGTCCAATAAACTTTCTGTTTTAATGAAAATGTTGTATATTCCTATGTTGAACAGTACAGAAGCCACTAGTCATATATGGCTATTGAGTACCTGATATGTAGTCAGTAGGACTAAAGAAATGAATTTCCAAATTTTATAATTGCAGTTTAATTGAATTAGTTACATGTAGCTAGTGGCTACCATATTGGATAAAACTGCTAGAAGTTTATAAGATAATAGGAGATATAGACAACTAATAAAAATAAGAGAAAGGAGAAATAACTGAGGGTTAATCACTAATGTGGGAGTCCAGAGGGAACATTTTTAATTGGGGTTCAGAAGAGAATTTGTGAAAGGTATTTTCTGAGATAAGATTTTAAGGGTGAGAATAATTTTGAAGGTGGAGAAGAGAATATAGTTATCTGTGGTTCCTTATCCAAGTGAGACAAGGCAAATTCATAACTACACAGATATTATCATCACATATCTTTTCAGAGAGAAAAAAGTCATTGCCTTTATATAGAACTGTCATTCTATTCATTCTCTATTTCTATTCATCTTGTCCTTCCAGGGACTGGAATGGTGTTTGACATATGATTGGTATCAGTTAATGTTTGCCAGGTTGAATTGAACAGGCCCTAGAAAAGTAGCTGGATTTTTTTTTTGTCCTTGGAATTTATGTGTTAGATCACTTATTATTTACTTATTAAATTTTATGTTCAATTAATAAGTAAAATTATGACCTATGTTCTATTGGAATTGATACCTTAGTAAGGAGAACATATGTGGAAAAGGAAATAAGAACATACTAACAGGAGCATAGGTCACAATTTATGATCCTCAGAGAAAGAAATAGCATTTGAAGTTTTGAACACTTACTGAATTAGAATGCCTGCAGCACTTTTTCACTGGGTGTCATGGAAGCATTTCCAAATAGTAGTGGGATACAACCCCTGGAATCCTGTCTCCCAGAGTAAACCATTATATGACTCTAAATAAGATGCAAAAGCCATTGTGCTACATTAAAAAGCTCAGTATTACACTTGAGTTGCTATGAATACCAATTAAGTATTCAACAATCATGTTAATTCTATTAAGATAGTAGTTATGACTTTTGTGTTTTGCTTCTTTAGAAAAAGTAACATTTCTGCTTTGTTCTGTCCTCTGCCTATAAGCTATAGCTTTCCTCATTAACAATTTCATGAAAAATAACTTAAAATCTCTATCTTGTATGAGAATGTGAATTACCAGCATTACTTCGATTTTATATTTGGTTCTAGGTCCAGCAGTTTAAGCAGGATCCACGTACAACCACATGTCTTCACTCTATTTTCAATGTGCATACAGGTGATGAGATCCTCTCCTATGACCAGTATGGTCATCTTCAGGTAAAAAGACATTATTACAGGTCTTTATCTTCTCTATTTATATTCTTCATCATAGAAGATTTGAGTCCATTTATAATTTAAAAAATTTTTGAAAGTAGATTTCATAAATTGTTAAAAAATGAAGTAGAAAACAACCAAGAAATGAAAAAGTGAAATGCTAACCACCAGGGCTGTATTAGTTATTGTGATGGACCATAAAATCTGACTTGAGTTCTTGGTCCACATGCAAAAAGGGCTCCTGGATGGGTTATTACTACCTAGAAGAAGGAATCCTATAATTCTTTCAGTGTCAAAAGCTTGTGCTTATTATCAAATTTAGTAGAATTTGAACACTTAGGAACTAGGGAATAAAGGACAATTGACAGTGATATAATAGCATTGAGAAATTTTTGTTACATGGCAGTTCATTTTTAATGCGTCAATCTTCAATAAAGTGAAAACATACCACTAAAATGTAATTCCAAAAGGCATTTCTGGAGTCTATAAATTTTGTCTAATATATTAAATTTTATACCTAGACTAAGAATACACTAGGATTTTATGTTTTGTTTTCACTTTTTTCTCTTATCTTTATTGTCTTTCACTGGACATCTTGTTGCCTTGTTTCTAGTATGCAGAATTATATATGCTATTTTTTTAATGGATTTTCTTCCAGCTCATCATTTGGTTCTGCTATCTTTAAGACAGAATACTTATTATTTATGTATTCCTTATTAAAATAAGAGTATCTCCTTTTTATAGTCTCTCTCTGTTTAGAAATCTGTAATTTCTTACTTTAGTATGACTCCTCCAAACACAGAAAGTGCGGTGTCCCCTTTTCTATGCAGAAGAAACTCTTACACCTGTTTGTAATTAGTTCCTTGGAAAATCAGTGTTATGTGAATATAACACTTCTCCTTCTCCCTATAATTATCATGTAATTAGGTTTTATGTACCTTTTCTTTAACAAATATGTTCACTGTCTGAAATAGGGTTTCCAGAAGATAATGGCTCATTTATTTTTGTATCCCAGAATTCAAGCTCAGTGTATGGTACATAGCAGGTTTTAAATAAATGCAGTCAACTAATGTTTGGTAGTCTCTAGAGATACCATTTGCCACTTACTGATATTTTCTCCCAGAAGTCAGAGCAGAGAGATCTTGAAGGTGTGGCTGTAAATGGTTGTCCATAGAAATGATGTTTCTTGTAAGTCATTTCTTGGAAGATCAGTGTTATTGCTGAAAGAAAATGTGAGTCTGGCAATAGGGTCAAGCTCTTCTCCACCAAAAGTTTGTCAGTCTAAAATCCCTGAAACCAGAATCCTATATATTTATTTGTGTCCCACTTGGACTTTGACAAGATTCTGATACCCACTGGACATTGGATGCTAGGAAGTCAGGAGATGTCTGGATGTTCCTGGTTCCTGAGAGAGTCACCAGCACTACCAGACTCTGGTGGCAGTTCTAGGTAGTTTTGCTATAAGCATCTTGCTACAAGCATTTTCTCCTCAAACGTCTTCACTGTATAACTAATTGGCTGTAAGTCAATTTTGCTGTAAAAGAGAAATATGAAAAATAAGAGAGAGACTTTCATTAAAAAGGACATATAATGGAGCTCAAAAGTGAATGACAAAATAAAAACTATATTACAAAATATAAAATATTTGAGTACATTTAAAATTTGAGTAGACTGCACAAATAACTGATTTTATTTTTGAATTTTTCCTAAGCACTTTAAAATTTTTCATTCATAGTTTCATATGTTTTTATTTTCTTTGCTTGTTTATGTGCAATGCCTTTTGGCATTGCATTTTTTTTTTAACTAAAATTTCTTCCTGCCTTAAGAGAGGTATCAGTTTCCAAATATTAGGATGTATATTTGTAACTGAGCTTTGTATTATGTTGTGAAAGGTTCCTTCATTGTTGTTTGTTTTGGCATATCATCACTTATCTGTTGATAGATGTTCCAAAATTCTGTGGGGAATGTGGGTTCAAATCTCTGTGCCACTATATAGACCATTATGATGACTAAGATTTATATAAAATAAAAATGAGAATACTGAGGCAATGGAGAAATGAAACCAAATTGTCATATTGTTTTTTAATCTTTTGCAACAAAATTGCCTTATGGCCAATTAGTTATGTGATGAAAATGACTGCAGCAAAGATATCTATGGCAAAGATGCTTAGGTGAAAATCCTGGGCATGGAGACACAAGGCAGCATTATACAAGGCCTGTAGAGCACAGATAATTTTCTGCCCCGACATTGTGCAGTTACTCAGTAATACTGGGTAGAAGGAGAGTTGAGGAAGACACAAGCCACCTAGTTTGGTAGAAGGTAGTAATCTTCTGGGTTAGAATTACATAGGGACAAAATTGCATCTTGATTGATCTTTGTTTTTAACTTGGGTTAGCAGTTTTCTTAGCTAAATGAAAATTTTTCACTGCTTCCCATTTATTTACTTATTTATTTATTGTATAACAGTGCTCTTGAGATAAAATCTATGTAACACAAAATTCACATACTTAAAGTGTACAATTTAATAGATTTTAATATATTCACAGAGTTGTGCAACCACTATCACAATCAGTTTCAGAACATTTTCATCACCCCATAAAGAAATGTATACTCATTTTCAGGCACTTCCCATTTCTCCCAAAGCCCCTAGCCCTAGTCAATCACAGTCTCTATCTGTGAATATTCCTATTGTATACATTTCATGTAAGTGAAATCATAAAATATATGGACTATTTTGACTGGCTTCTTTCATTTGACATGTTTTCAAGGTTAGTCCATGTTGTAGTCTTTCATTGCTTGTTTACTTGAGACAATTTACAATCCCATTTAGGATTCTAGGAGGATCTTTTTTTTTTTAAGTGGACATTATTGTCTTCATTTCTTTCTTTGTTTAGACCATATAATGTCTATCTTTAATAGACTAATAATTCCTAAAAGAAGAAAATAACTCATTTGTTTATAAAACTCTTTTGTTCATAAATACATTTTAAATTATATTCTGTACCATTGATTAAAATTAATTTATCATTGCAGTTGCTTACTAAATTGTGTATTCTCTGAAAATAAAATTGTTTTCAAGATGCACTGCCTATTGTTTATGGTGTACTAGCATAGTGCTAATGTTTTTTTTGCTAAGTAACTTTTTCATTGACGTAGATTTGAGATGGATTGACATTATATAGGTACCAGTGGGGCAAAACTATTTCAAAGTAGAAATGCTTTACACCCAGAGTTCGAAAATAAATCTTAGAATACAAATGTTATAAAAACAATAACAGTTCCATTTGCATCCATTTTCCTAATCAGATATTAACCATCACAAGGAATTTGAATATTTAGAGTTGTATATATAAAGCTGGGATTTTACTGTGAAGTAAATCCATAGATTCTTTATTTCACAATAGGGAAGGAAAGTTCCTATGCCACTATTAGAACAAATGACTTGTAATTTTAGCTTTTACCTTTAATGTTGTGACATATTTCTTGCTTTCTTTAACCTTTTAATGTTATTTGTTTTCAGATAAATACAGTGTCACTGTATCTCCTTTACCTTGTGGAAATGATTTCCTCAGGACTTCAGATCATCTATAACACTGATGAGGTATAATGATTTGCTCAAATTCTCTAGTGCTAAATTTCATCACTGGGAATATCTTTAAATATATTTTTTTCTTTTACTTTTTAAAACTTATTTTTAGTTTCATAAAAATGGGTTATTATTAAAATCATAGAATCAGATATGGATTTTAAGTGTTGCATCAAAAAGTCTTTATATTTTCAATGCAAAGCACTTTAAAAAGGAATAATATATATGATTGGTTGTAAAATTTCATTCCTGTGAAGGCTGTATTGAAGTAAAAACATAACTTTCAAAAAAAAAAACATAACTTTCAGGAAATTTTAGTAACAATGAAAGTAAAATAGCATTTGCAGGTTTCTCAGAGTCATTATGTCTTTTTGTCACATCATTGCTTTTTGTAACCTATCCTTTTAAAAGATTATTTTATCATATTGTATTATTTTTATTTGTGGGACCTCAGTAGGGTTCCTGATGTTTTTCAAAAGATAAATGCCATGTTCCTATTCTTACTAGGAAATTTGAAAGGAATTTATATCACAAAGTTGAGAGTATTTCTTTCATAGGCACTAATGCTTGAACCAACACACAGACACACATGCTAACACATGTGCCACAGTGGGAGCAAAAGCTTTTTTTTTTTTTTTTTTTTGAGAGGGCATCTCTCATATTGATCAAATGGTTGTTAACAACAATAAAATTCTGTATAGGGGACTCAATGCACAATCATTAATCCACCCCAAGCCTAATTATTATTGAGATGATACATATAATAAGAATCCCATCAAAGATTAAGCATGCTCTACTTACTTGCTGTTATTCCTCTCCTGTGATCCATACAGAAAGAGTAACTGTCCTGTACACTAAACATCAAAATCATCATTGGTCTGCACTTGAGAGTGCTATGAAATTGGTACACATAGTCCTGCCCTCTAATAGTTTGTGTCTAGTACATCCTTCCACTTGTGCTTTTTTTATAACATAAAATCTATTTACAGTATACTTGTGGATGAATAATAAAGAAGAGGTAATGGTAAAAAATAAAGAATACCCACTAGTTATTTCTTCTGTTTGATTCATCAAAGAATTACATGTTTCATTTCATCCAAATAGTTGTGTTTTTATAATATTGTGAAATAGTGGCGTTCACACATTTTGGGTAGGGGAGAAGTTGGGAAACTGCTATTTCAGACCAATCTTAAACAGCATCCTAAAATAAAAAACAAATAATAAACTTGACCTTAAGGAGAGGAGGGCTCTGAGAACCAGCTAGTTTAGCTTCTCATAGAAACTCTCAAGCACTAGAAGTGTCCCTGGTCCCAGGAGAACACAGTGTGATAGTCATTTACAATAAGTAGTAACTGACATTGATAGCTGCAAGTGATTTCCCACTAATGCTATTGATGGTATTGGGGTAGAGTTTCCTTCATTAGTGGTAGCTTTGTTCTTTTTTTTTTTTTAATTTTTAACATTTATTTGTTTTTTGCTTTCTCATTATCTACCATAGTTCATATTAAAACTTCAGTTGTCAGCTGACAGTATTCAAAAAAATATGGTACTGTTTTAACTTTCCCATTCTGTTTTATAGGACTTATCTGTATGTAAACAATTTTGGTATTTTCTCTTAAGGTTTATTTTTCTATTTTGCTTCCTTTTTATGTTTTGTCTTAGCTTTATAGTTTTTATTTGACATATAAAATTTTTATGTAGCCAATATTAATAGGCTTTCAACATGTACACTTAAAATCCTAGAATAATAAAATGTGTTGTCTCTGCTCTCTGTCATTTTACTTTAGATTTTATATACTGTGTCAGGTTCATATGGGAAGGTAGTAAATGGGCCTGCACAGAATATTTCAATGAATTAAGTTCATTTTGTCCAGGTATTTCAGAGAAATTAATCCTTTGAAAGGAGGTGTGACTTGGAACTATTTTCTTTTTTAATCATCCCTTATACCTTGAATGGCAAGTTCTTAATCCCATCTCTTCTCTTTAGTTCTCAGCCACATGTAAGTCTCAGGACAATCCAAGGACCTGGGAGGGAAGTGGAACTACCACTCATTTCTTTCTCTACTTACTATCAAATTTTTAATTTTCCCAAGTTCTTATTTTTCTTAGGATTGAAGAATATAGAGTTTGGGGCTATACACACACACACACATACACATACACCCCACATATATGTAGTATGTTGTCAGCACTTTTTGTTTTTAATAAGCCATTTACCTTCTTTTGATAGCTCATCATCATATCTTTACTGATTCTCTCGTTTACATAAACTCTGTATCCGCATTATAGTTCCTTAAGGAAAAAAAAAACAAAGTTGTTTTAAGGTTTATATGTTCCCTTCCTAAGGTATACTGAGTGCCAACGTTTTTGCTGATGAGCCTTGCTAGGGAACATGCTTCCTAAGGACAGGAACAGTAATGTATACTCATTTTCTAATGTGTTTCTTTGCTTGCACACATGTATTGTGTTTTGTGAGTACCCAGGCTGCATTGGTGTCCATACAAGTAATATTGCACACATTTGCAGATAATGGATTTTTATTAAAAATAAAAACTGTGAATGAGGCAAACTTCCGTAGTTCTGCCCTGGCACTGTTATTTTCTTTCTCTCAATCTGAAGAGAAACCCAATTTGTTTTTTGCTTTCTCATTATCTACCATAGTTCATATTAAAACTTCAGTTGTCAGCTGACAGTATTCAAAAAAATATGGTACTGTTTTAACTTTCCCATTCTGTTTTATAGGACTTATCTGTATGTAAACAATTTTGGTATTTTCTCTTAAGGTTTATTTTTCTATTTTGCTTCCTTTTTATGTTTTGTCTTAGCTTTATAGTTTTTATTTGACATATAAAATTTTTATGTAGCCAATATTAATAGGCTTTCAACATGTACACTTAAAATCCTAGAATAATAAAATGTGTTGTCTCTGCTCTCTGTCATTTTACTTTAGATTTTATATACTGTGTCAGGTTCATATGGGAAGGTAGTAAATGGGCCTGCACAGAATATTTCAATGAATTAAGTTCATTTTGTCCAGGTATTTCAGAGAAATTAATCCTTTGAAAGGAGGTGTGACTTGGAACTATTTTCTTTTTTAATCATCCCTTATACCTTGAATGGCAAGTTCTTAATCCCATCTCTTCTCTTTAGTTCTCAGCCACATGTAAGTCTCAGGACAATCCAAGGACCTGGGAGGGAAGTGGAACTACCACTCATTTCTTTCTCTACTTACTATCAAATTTTTAATTTTCCCAAGTTCTTATTTTTCTTAGGATTGAAGAATATAGAGTTTGGGGCTATACACACACACACACATACACATACACCCCACATATATGTAGTATGTTGTCAGCACTTTTTGTTTTTAATAAGCCATTTACCTTCTTTTGATAGCTCATCATCATATCTTTACTGATTCTCTCGTTTACATAAACTCTGTATCCGCATTATAGTTCCTTAAGGAAAAAAAAAACAAAGTTGTTTTAAGGTTTATATGTTCCCTTCCTAAGGTATACTGAGTGCCAACGTTTTTGCTGATGAGCCTTGCTAGGGAACATGCTTCCTAAGGACAGGAACAGTAATGTATACTCATTTTCTAATGTGTTTCTTTGCTTGCACACATGTATTGTGTTTTGTGAGTACCCAGGCTGCATTGGTGTCCATACAAGTAATATTGCACACATTTGCAGATAATGGATTTTTATTAAAAATAAAAACTGTGAATGAGGCAAACTTCCGTAGTTCTGCCCTGGCACTGTTATTTTCTTTCTCTCAATCTGAAGAGAAACCCATAATATACATTCAACTTACATATTTTTATCTAAGTTTGTATATATTAATATATATATATACACACATACGCACATATATCCTAAATATAAAGTTCATTAAGTCAGTCCTTTGTTAATGAAGATTGCAACTCATTTACATCTTCTGGAGAGGGACAAAGTAATGAACTACCACGTGGCATTCTATGTCACATTTTGTGACATCCTCTGTAAAGAAATTTTAAAAGTAGATCTAAAAGATTTAAAGAGACAAGGAAGGAATAATTCAGAAATGAGTCCAAAAAAACTTACTTTATTCACATGCCCCATAAATGTGTGTAATAAATAGGTTTTTGTTTTGTGTTTTAAGATAAATTTTTGTTGCTTTTTGTGGAAAAGCCTCATTCATATCAGAAGACTCATATAATAAAGAAGGGATTGTTTAGAGTTTGATGACCCCACAACTATAAGTTTTGAATATTTTTAAAGTGAAGACTTTTAATCATAATTCTGCCTTCCCTTCTTACATTTTGAATTTGCTCTTATTTTTTAATTAATATATTAAAACCTGTTAATTGTGTCTCTGTGTTAAATTGTATCAACTAAATCTTTATACATGGAAGTGGAAAAACTACCTGTATGGATTCCAATGTGCCTTTTCCAGTGTCATGCTGTTACATGACTCTGATTTGGCATTCTTTAATGATGGGCCACAAGTATAATGTCATCTTAGAAAAATCTAATGTCAAATATTCTCCTTACAAACTTAAAATTTAAGTGGAAATAAACATTAATACTTGGAATGGCCTATAGATGCAGTTGTATGACAGAAGTTTGTCAAATGGTCCTGCATGCTCCAGTTCCTTTAGGTAAACATGCTTGAGTGTTACTTCCATGAATGAAAGTTTATTTATTCAGGAGTGCCCAGTTACTTCTTAAGTTCTTCAGAGGAAGTATAGTTTGTAAGCCTTATAATAACACTGCACAAAACTGCAGGTACTTGTTCAACATGAAACCTGGGAAAGTCTGCTTTATTCACTGTCTCATGTGCCATGTTTTATTTTGTGAAGATACCTTCTTTTCACATTGTATGACATTTGGAATTTCTTATTGTATTAGCTATCTATTGCTCTGTAACAAATTACCTCAGAATTTAGTTGCTTAAAAGAGTAAACATTTATATTCTCAAAATTTCTCTGAGTCAGAAATTTGGGAACAGCTAACCAGGGTAGTGTGACATGGGATCTC